TATTCAGGGTGTGTTCTACTCGAGTATGGGAGCGAGGTCCAAAAACGGGTCAAACTAAAAAACTTTGCACAAAAAAATATAGGCCAAAACATAAATAATACCTTTCATAGAAAATCTCGGTCAGCTAATTTATTTGTATGGGAGGTCCAACTTTTATATTACAGCTTGACCTTTGCTCTTGAAAGTAAGTTATCCAGTTTGTTGTTGAGATGAGCATTCTAAAAAAAAATAACATTGTTTGGTACTACCCTGTATGCGGGTAAGACAACCGCTGTACAACCGCAATTTAATGTAGTTCGACATGTACTGTGAGATTTCGTGTGATGTGTGAGATTTCGTCAAAAAACCGGATCCGTCAAAACACCTAAAAATCATGTGTGAAAACCACCTTCGAGTGTCTTTAATTGCAAATAATTAGAAGGATTGTTGGAGCTTTTGGCCATCTCTAATTAAGTTTCTGGCGCGAAATTTGGCACCTAGGTAAGTTTAAACAGTTGAAAGTTTTTTACGCGAAATCTAGTCTATCTACTCTGTTGAAAATATACCTAGGGTGAAATTTAACTAGTGACCGATAGCGAAAACTCAGAACCGGCTAGTGATAAGGAACAACTTTTCCCAAGGAACATAGGCAAGATACGAAAAAATATTTTGGACCTCCCATAGTAACTGAAAGCAGCTTATCGGCAAGTTTGTATGGAATCCCCAAAAAAAATATTCGTATTTCGTCCTATGTTCCTTGGGGAAAGTTGTTCCTTATCACCAGCCGGTTCTGAGCTTTTGCTATCGGTAACTAGTAAAATTTCACCCTATTTACGTTTTACTCGTTCTCTTTTTCGTAAGAGACACCGGGTCGTCCAACGACTCTATGAACCAGATTACTACTACAAGCAGCAGGACTCTGACATAGTTGAGTAACGACCGACATCTAAGTAATCAAAGACAGCAACCGGGACCGACATCTTTAGGTGCTAGCTCCACAGAGCAAACGTGAGATATGAGACGTAAGATGGCATCTGTCAAACAAGTGATCATCGGAGACGTGAAACGTGCGACATCAAGACGCTTGCAACCGTTTCCATATAAAATGCATGAAGCAGAAGAAACAAAGCTCCCAATCGATAACGGCTGACGATCGCTTGTCTGACAGATGTCATGTTGCGCGTCGCGTCGCGCGTCTATTCTGTGGAGCTTGCCCTTAACGTTAAAATTTTATTCAGGTCACTTATTTACGGTAATATAAAGCTACCTTGTTAATAACTTTGGGGAATTCTTGAAACATTTTGTATGGAAATTTACATATTCATTATGGCCCTTTGGGTAGGTAATATACACAAACAAAGGGCTTGTCGCGCCCTTGGGAGTTAACCTGCTTATGTTATCAATACAACATGATATTATGTTATACGCATGTATCAAATGGTATGTTATATTTAGGTCTAAACTTACGTGCGTAAAAATCAGTTGCACATTTTCGGGGACATTTTTAGAAAAGACAGGTTCACAACCACAACGAAAACATAGCCAAATACATGATTTTGTGTTGCGCTGGCCCCAACTGATTTGGAATAGGGGCAGGAAAATGTTTTAAGAAAGGTCAGGTCAAGGATTGGCCCTAAAACGAAGAGCGTGCAAGATAAGTATGCAAGGATTGTAGCAAATGGAAGGATATAGGTCTGCCTACCCATCTGGGAAAGAGGCGTGATTTATGTATTTATGTAACAAAGGATGGTCTTGTCGTATCCTCGGGAGCTAACCTAATATTATCAATTCAATATAGTATTTGAAATGTTAGTCATGTTTTAAATGTTATATTAACGTGTGACCCTTGACAGTGTGATACTATCTCACCTCATTTCTATCAGTAGTTGTCTTAGCTAAGACTAAGGGATGAATGGAGGTGACATGGACAGCAGCGTTTCCTGTGAATATCTACAACACCTTGCACTAAGTTTACCAAACGCTTACCTACCCGCCTGCCAAGCGTAGAAATATAGCCATACCCACCTATGTAATTTGGGGAGGCCCATGTCCAGCAGTGGACTATTTAGTGCTGTAGTATTAGTAACATAGACGTATGAGGCCAATGATGTTGATGACTAGAAACAGTAGTTATAAGGTCTAAACTCACATTCATACAGTTAAACTGTATTTTTGATGTAATAACATCCCGTGACTGAACTTTTCGAACTTTTGAGAACTTTTGCACTATTTCTGTTGATGGTGATCTCATACATAATCATAGCGAAATCTTTTACTCGTCGTCGATTACTCGTCTGACAGATGTCATCTTACGTTTCACGTGTACTCTATGGAACTTAAGCCTGAAAGGTGCAAAATGGCAACCAATTTCATAGGTTTCGAGCATGTTCGGAGTCGGTAACAATATAGTGATACACAGGGTCTCTCTCTCTCTCTTGTGTGGGACCTTCTTCTAAAGCATGGAGCCATCTTTCTTTCGAACAAGCAGGTGCCACGGCCTGCAATATCCTAGACTGGGAACAAACTCAAAAAATTATAAATATTAACTTTATGAATGGCTAAACGAGAATCGAACCCGGAACCTTTTGCGACGTAGGCAGTCGCACTACTACTGCGCCACATCGGCTACCTATGCACACAGGGTGCCTCTGCACGCCTCAGGCACAAATTATGTATTGGCGACTGGCTCAGGTCTTGCAGGCATACTTGGATTAAGGTATCCGTTTTCCATCAGGCGTGCTAGGTTTGTTTATTAGCATATTCACCCGACTGCTTCAAAAGGAGGCTTGTGTTTTCGGAGAGTATGTAAGTATCTAGTATGTAGGTATGTATCTTTAAGTCCTCGTTCCAAATCAGTTGAGGTCGGCGTATCATGTTTTGTTAAAACACAAAGTCGTGTAGAAAAAGGATTTGGCTATGTTTTATGACCAGCCGCCTGTCTGACGTCAACCCTCTTTAGGAATGCTATTGTAGGTGGTATCACCGCACCGCCACCATACCGTTGACAGATATTCAGCTGAGGTCAAAAACTGAGTCTGAAAGTGGACTAGGGGTGGGAGTATTCTTAGCCGCTACCACACGGAACAAATATCGAACGCTAACAATTAAAAACTTACCTCAGCATTAGGTCGGCCGTACACCTCCTTCGTGCCATATTCTGGGAACAAATATCGAACGCTAACAATTAAAAACTTACCTCAGCAGTAGGTCGGCCGTACACCTCCTTCTTGCCATGTTCTGGGGAGCGGAGCATCCCTTTTGTTTCGATCAGCACGTTGGTTTAGCCTTGTGATACCAGCTTAGAATAGCATCACTCCGATTCTACCCGAGGGTGACGTAAAAAAAGGTAATAAATAATCTAGGGAAAGGACAGCAGAGTTCTCTGCGAATTCCATTTGCCAATGCGCCTGCCAAGCGTGGTGAGTATGGCAATACTCTCCGATAGGAGGAGGCCCATGTCCAGCAGTGGGCTGTTGTAGAAGTTAAGGTAAAGTAAGGTAAAACTTACCTCAGCAGTAGGTCGACCGTACACCTCCTTCTTGCCATGTTCTGGGGAGCGGAGCATCCCTTTTGTTTCGATCAGCACGTTGGTTTAGCCTTGTGATACCAGCTTAGAATAGCATCACCCCGATTCTACCCGAGGGTGACGTAAAAAAAGGTAATAAATAATCTAGGGAAAGGACAGCAGAGTTCTCTGCGAATTCCATTTGCCAATGCGCCTGCCAAGCGTGGTGAGTATGGCAATACTCTCCGATAGGAGGAGGCCCATGTCCAGCAGTGGGCTGTTGTAGAAGTTAAGGTAAAGTAAGGTAAAACTTACCTCAGCAGTAGGTCGACCGTACACCCCCTTTTTCCCATGTTCGGGGGAGCGGTGTCCTTTGGTGTCAATCTGTATTGGTTTAGCCGTGCGATGTCATCTTAGAATAGCATCACCCCGATCCTACTCGTGGGTGTCGTAAAAAAAAGTGGAATAAAAATCCAAGAAAAGGACAGCAGAGTTCTCTGTGAATTGCATTCGCCAATGCGCCTGCCAAGCGTGGTAGGTAAGTATGGCAAATACTCCCCGATAGGGGGAGGTCCATGCCCAGCGGTGGGCTGTTGACTGTTGTGGATGGTAAAGTAAAGTAAGGTAAAACTTACCTCAGCAGTAGGCCGGCCGTACACCCCCTTCTTGCCATGTTCTGGGGAGCGGTGCATTCCTTTTGTGTCGATCTGCACGTTAGTCTGCATTTTGATTTCTTTCTTCTTCTTCCTACTCTTCTTTTCTATTCAGTTTATGGAAAAGTCAGCCCAGGCTCTTGAATTTCATGAGGCTCAAGAGTTGGAATCCTTTGTTTTGTGCGATAACATCTGAAACAAAAGAAATAAATTGTAAATTATTTACTAGGTTCGTTTACTACAAACTTATGGGTCAAAATCTTAGAGTATGAGAATAGTTATATATCTAGGTTCAATAGTGATGTTGCTGGCGTTTGCTACTGATGGACAGAGAGGTTGTGTTCTTACTAGTGCCACTCGTTCTTGCTTTTTAGGCGAACTCTATAGCTTGTTTAAAGGTATATACCCTAAGGTCCAAATACACCCAGGTACGTACGAGTAGTTCAGTACCGCATTTATTGGTGTAAGGGGAATAATGGCAAACGTGTGCGGAAACTTTTTGGTGTCACATTACAATGAGGAATAAAGGAGATAACTTAATAAGGAACAACTTTTCCCAAGGAGCATACCTAGGTACGAAAATAAGAAAAACAAATTTTGAACCTTCCATAGTAACTCAAATCAGACGATCGGCAAGTTTGTATGGGAGGATTGAGAGGTTATTTTTTCGTTTCGATCTGTAATTTTACTTTATCACCAGCCAATTCTCAGTTTTCGCTATCGGTCATTAGTAATAAGTATTTCACCCTCTTGAATACCAACACTTCTCGTGTTAGGTAAACAATTATTGGAAATATTTGAAATTTTTTATCCACGCGATAGTGGACAACATTAACTTGCTTAATTTCGCGGGCTCAATAAGAACCGCGGTAGCCCAGTTGGTTAGGGCGTCGGCAGTACTGATGCCGAAGGTCGAAGGTCGCAGGTTTGAATCCTGCCTGCGATGAAAATTTTGCAAGTTTTCCAAAAATATTTCACCCTCTATTAAGACACAAATCCAATCATATATCTCAGTGGCCACGAGGAGGAAGTTAATCAGAACGGCGTCAGTTGCACGCATCATTGTTCTCTCTCGCCATCCAATCTCCGTTATTTCACGTACAATTCGGGGACGGAAGTCTTTATACCGGGTGTAAGGGGCGATACCAAAAACTTTGTAGGCTTAGATTTAGCCCGTGACACTGAACAACTTTTACTATGGCGCCTATGTAAAGAAAAACAAATTTTTGATTACCTAACTGACTTTCTATAGAAACTCGGAAATAATTCAATTCAATTCAATTCAATTCAAATCAATTCAATTCAATTTAATTCAAAAATACTTTATTGTACACAAGGACATACAAATAAATTAATACTAATTTTTGTTTCTCTAGTTTTCAACATAGTCTCCATAGTAAAAGTTGTTCAGTTTTATGGTTTCCACACGCCTGCTAAGGTTTTGGTACACCATTCCTTACACCCCGTATACAGGGTGTTAATTTAAATGCGTGCCATAGCATCAGGGACCTACCTTAGTATCGATAATGGATAACGTAAAAAATAAATTAGCACCCTGTATTCTCAGATATCAAAGCTATTTATCTCGAAAACTTTGATAGGATGATCTCCAGAGCAAACTTCAGTCGGAGTTCAAACTCAAAGCACTTCAATAAATTTTGTCGTCTACTTATAGCGTTAAATGAATTGTGGTTTGCGTGGCTTATTAAAATTACTTTTTTTCTTTACCACATATAGAAAATTGACCCGAAAATATTTTTTGAAGGAATAAACATATTTTGGTTCGTGTCATTTTCAAAAGTAAATAAATAACGATAAAAAATACACAAGGACTGAATAAATCCACTGCAGATTAGACCCTACGTAAGTGTTTAGTACTTTTTCCATGTCCTAATGAAAAGCAAAGAATTCTTGTTGTTCCACATTGTCATCATCACGTCAGCTATAGCAGTCCACTGCTGAACGTTGGCATGGCAGACCCTGGGAGAGCCAACCCTAGAATAGTTTACCTATAAATCTTCTTTTCGGGTCAATGGCAGTAAAAAACCCAGGTTACAGCTTTTGTGCCCAAAAAGTGGCCACGTCAATGGCATTATGGTTGGCTTTGAGGAGGTCTTCCTGTGTGCAAGCAGCAGGACAGGTAGGGCATGACTTGAGATGTGACATAGACTGTACGGCGCCACACTCGCACCTATCACCCTGAGAGAAGCCCCACCTTCTTCTGAGCTCCTTACACCTGCCGACACCTGACCGAAGTCTATTTAGCGCTTTCCAGGTGGACCAGGGGAGGTTGTGGCCTGGCGGTAGCTTTTCGTCTATGGGGCAGTAACTATCTTTGGGAGGGTGCTTTTTGGACCACAGCTTTATTCTAGCCTTAGATGGGTATGAATCAAGAGGCTCAGTGTGATGCATAAAGCTATAAATACATACATATATCACGCACGCCTATATCCATTACGGGAAAGCGTAAAAACGGCCATTCATATCACGTCTGACGAAAGTTTGGGTCGTTCAGAAGACTGTATATCACCATAGTGACAGGTTGTTGGTCTGTCGTCGAAAATTAGAAAAAGTACACATCAACTCTCAAATCCTTTAGTACCTTCTTACGACACGAGAAAGGAATGGGGTGGTGATAGGTATTCTAATCCGGCACCACATGGCGCTAGTTTACCTATTATCTACGTTTTGTAAAAAAAAATGATGTGAAATGAAACGAAGGAACATCATAGTACTTGGCAACTGATAGCTCTTGTGAAAGCTATTTCTGTCTAAAAAAACATTCTCTCACTACCAGCCAGTATTTCCCTTCCAGATTAACTTGTTGACTTTCCTTTGTTCTGTGACACTCTCGTAGCTTTTTGTTTTTCCACATGTCTATCTATTTGTCTCTTTCTGTCCCAAAGTATCAGATCCGTCGAAAAGAGATGCAAGATGTGTACGTGGTCGCCTAATGAGAGGCACGTGACGTACTGTGTCGGTGTAGAAACGAAAGTGGATAAGTCACAAATTGCAAAATTTATTAATTTTTAGCGTTATGACCAAATCAAACATTTTCACACCGTTAGTCACGTCATATTAAAAAAAAAACTTATTATTTCAGCAGAACTGGGCTGCTACATAATTTTATTTCATTTGAAACTAGCGGCACGTTAGAGGTTTCACCCGCTGTATCTCATCATCCCGCGGGAAATAGGTATTTTCCCGACATGTCATAATAGTACATTGTATACGCAGGAAAAAAGAAACCGATTACTAACGAGGGTGTACTTTCAATACACACGAGTTTGTAGTCGGACTTTCATCCGAGTAATACATAGTGCTTTATACTACACCTGCGGGGTCAGTTGTAACAGCCACGGGGTGAATTGAAACATCCGCAAAAAATAAACTATATAGGTACACATTTGCAAACTCTCAGATGCATACGGCAGCGCAATATTTAAATTCAATAACTTTTAAAACTGAATATCTTTTAAAACTGAACAACCTTTAAAACTGATTAACTTTCAAAACTGAACAACTTCTATAATGAACATAAGTATTTTGAAACTGAACATTTTTTGAAACTGAACAACTTTTACATCTCTTAAATCTCATAGAACTGAACAACTTACAAAACTGAACAACTTACAAAACGGAACAACTTACAAAACTGAACAACTTACAAAACTGAACAACTTACAAAACTGAACAACTTATACAACTGAACAACTTACAAAACTGAACAACTTACAAAACTGAACAACTTACACAACTGAACAAGTTACAAAACTGAACAACTTACAAAACTGAACAACTAACAAAACTAAACAACTTACACAACTGAACAACTTACAAAACTGAACAACTTACAAAAATGAACAACTTACAAAACTGAACAACTTACAAAACTAAACAACTTACACAACTGAACAACTTACCTACAAAACTGAACAACTTACAAAATTGAACAACTTATAAAATTGAACAACTTACAAAACTGAACAACTCACAAAACTGAACAACTTACACAACTTATGAAACTCAACTGTCAACAACTTTTTAATACTGAACAACTTTTAAAACTGAACATCTTTTCAAAACGGAATAACTTTTGAGACTGAACAACTTTTGAAACTGAACAATTTTTACACCTGAACAACTTTAAAAACTGGACAACTTTTTAATGACAACTTCAAAACTAATCAACTTGTGTTCACCTACCCTATCAACTGTACTAAATTCTGTAAAAACTCCCACGGGAGGAAAGTGATTTGTATGGTTAATTCCCTCCCGCTAATTTGTACGTTGAACAATGACTAACGTTCTCCCCTATAAAGTGTAAAGCTATAGGTAAATTAATATGCAGGTGTAGTATAAACATATCAACCTTCCTCTTAAATCACTTCATCTATTACAAAAAACCGAATTAAAATCCGTTGCGTGGTTTAGTGGTACCGAATTCCACGACAGACAGACAGACAAACGCAAAAAGCAAAAAGCGACTCCATTATACCATACCACGAGTATATTGTTTATAGCCTTAATAGCTACCAAGTTTTCAAAGCGTCGCGACAACGACGCCGTCAAATTTTGACGGCGTCGTTGTCGCTGTGGTCTTGTAGAAAAACCCGACCGCATCCCATACAAACTCTAAGCTTCTCAGCGCGCTGTCAACGTGACGGCGTCGTGGCGCGCCGCAACGAGCCGAGAGCCGACGCTCGGTCTTTCTGGTTTCCCCATACAAACCAGTCATTTGACTGCGACAACGACGCGCAACGTGCTTGGTTTTTAAGCCTACCATAAAGATTTGAACAAGTCAAAAAAGTGTTAGAAGTCGCGAAAAGCTTTGAGGCAGTAATCTATTTACTTTTATATTTTCTGGCTTAGTCTCATCCAGGTCTTTTGTCACAGAAGAATACATAATAGTCACAGATGAGTACTAAGATGTAACAAGTGAAAACAAAATTAAAATTTTGAAAATGCCCACGACAGTTTCCTGCAGCGCCTCCTGGTGAGATAGAAGCGTAAAACCTATCTAAGAACATCCACCAATCAAAATCATACCAATTACTGAAAACCGCATTATAATCGGACTAGTGGTTTTGGAGATAATTGGGAACATTGATTGGCACAAACAAGTTTATTGCAGCGCCCCCCTGGTAAGTTGTTCGCGTAATACCCAACTAAGAACATGCGCAAGAAAAATCCAAATCCATCACTGAAAACCGAATCAATATCGGACTAGTGGTTTGGTAGATATTTGGTAACATAGGTTTGCACACACAAACAAACAACACACATTCTCTCACCTCCCACGCATATACCGTCTCCGTTCCATCGCGGGTAAAAATGCTAAAATGGATTTATTCCGTTTTGCTACTGAGCCTCGAAGGAGGAAATTGGTGAGACGTGTCTGTGAGGGCTGTTATCAGGTGGAAAAGTATCGGAATGATGCGAGGAGAAACCGATAAGAGGTATCATTGATGGTGAAGACGTTCTTATATTTTTTACGTGTAACCTTAGTTGAAACGTTTTTTTTGTATAAAAGTTTTTTATAAAGCTTTTCAGACTTTATTCCTAGAGAAGAAAGAAAAGAAAGATTTTATGTATTAATTTGTAGGTACAAAGCTTGTACAAAATAAATGATCTCAAAAAGCCACGATCCAATATATTCCAGGTGTAAGGCACGGTGCCCTGAAAACTTTGCCAGCACAATGAGACTATGAAACTGAACAACTTTTACTATTGAGCTAATGGTAGGAACAGTAACTGTAACTCGTAAACGGTGCATTGTAGCTTCAAAACGTCTAAGAAACTATTAAAGCTCATTAAATTTCCTATACTTTGTCATTAACATAAAAACCATTCATTCAACAATGGTTTTTAAGTCATTTCTATTTCAAAGTCGGTAGTTTTATTTCAATTTCTTTATTTATTTAAGTTTACAACATGACAGTTATA